CGTATGGTAGTGACCGATACTACGCCTTAACCGTGATTGATGAAGCCACGAGATGGTTAGAAGTATCGATCCAAGAGAACAACAAAGGAAAAACCACTGCAGAGAACTTCGACGTGACGTGGTTATGTCGTTATCCAAGACCAAAGGAAGTTGTATTCGATCGAGGTAATGAGTTCAACACAACAGAGTTCCGTGAGATGCTTGCGAGCTATGCAGTCAAGCCGAAACCAATATCCTCGAAGAATCCTCAAGCCAATGCAATTTGTGAACGAGTACATTTGGTACTAAACAACTGTATTCGCTGTTATCCGGAGGCAGACTGGCGTCAAGTTATTCAATACGCTGCATTCGCAGTACGTGCAAGTTTTCACACGATTCTGGATACAACACCTGCACATCTGGTCTTTGGGCAGGACTTGATTACACGACAACTTCATGAAACGAATTGGAGTTATCTCACTAAGCGCCGATTTGAAGCCATATTGAGAGACAACGGGCGCGAGAACACCAAGCGGCTGGAGCATTTCTATCACCCAGGAGATCAAGTAATGATTCGAGTAGCTGCAAAAGATCGCGGCAACAAACACCGTGAGGTGGCCAAAGGACCATACTCCATCGTGGAAGTGCACGGTAATGACACCGTGACGCTGGATTATGGAGTGACGCAGGAGCGCGTCAACATTCGACGTCTCTTTCCGTGTTGAGCGGCAACTGGCATGGGGGTGAATAACAAGAGGTTCGCTCCAGTTGTGGTATGACCAGTTGACGCATACGACGTGAGACAAATTTCTAGTTTTCCTTTCTCAGCTTGAAGTGTTGTTGTGGGCAGCCACACAGCATACATACTTAATATAACTTACTTCTTCTTTTGCCAAATAAGGCTCAGGTCCTCTGCAAGCCACGACCTACAGCTAACACCTTGCTGAGAGCCCCTCTGCGAGCCAAGGGTTGTCAGTACCTTGGTACGGTGTATGCTCGCGTGGAGTAATGGCTATGTTGGACCACCTAGTCCTCCGAGCGGCTTTTCATCACGACCTCCAGTTTCTTGAATTTCAGCCCCCACAGCTTTTCTAACTCACTGCGCTCGTGCTCCATTTTCATTTGAAACACTTGTTGTCGCATTTCTAATTCTTGCCGCTTCAGTTGATTTGCCCCATTAATCTCTGCCAGGCTCACTTCATTTTGTTGACGATGTAGCGCTAGCATTCCTTGCGAATATCAAGGTTCGCAAGAAATTGCTTCTCCTCCAGCTCAAGACGCTTCACCTCCAGTTTAAAGGACTGCTGACGGTCTTCCTCAAGCATTTTTTCATCCGGAGTTCATGTCTGGAGTTTTTGCGCTTGCGTTTCGTGCACTGCTACCGGCGTCTGAGTCATTGTTCTCTACACAAAAATGACAACAAAAAACAATGTATAGTGAGATATGATATGTTCGTAGCTTATCATTCAATCTTACCTTCAACGGCGCCAGAATCTGTTAGAGTGACGTCCCCCCCCTCCACACCTCAGTTACTGTGTCTCCAACCATAGCACGAGCGACATTTTCGCGGTGACGTAGGCCGCTCTGCCTCCTCTTCCCTTTGTCGCTTGGAAGCAGTACGCTTTTTTTCGAGTTCAGATTCTTGTTGTTGCTCAAGAATCTCCGAGAGCAGATCGTTGATACGTTTCTGCAGCAAGCAATGCCATGTCAAAACTCACTTCCATAAATAGAACAAACACTTACCTGTATGGGGGTGAGTTCGTTGCGGCGCTCTTGTCTGGTCTCCGCATCCTGGATTCTTTCGCGATTCTTGTGCTCTTTTAACAGTGCATTGGCCCAGCTTACCAGGGTTCGTTCATGAGCCTTGAATCACCAAGTTGTCTTGAGATATTGCACGGCTGCAGTAAGGCGCTGGCCGTGCTGATCATGTGCTGGCATATGCACTTCGTTAACGTGGTAACTGTCGAGAGCTGCTTCCTGCGCCTCAGAGTTTCATAGACCAGTTCTTGATTGCCACAACAGGTCGAGCCTCATTGACCACCTGTTGCGCTGTTTTTCGCGACCGGCGTTGCTGTGGAGGATTTTCACCAACTTGATCACGTGCTTGATGACGGTCTGCACCAGCTTCATCTAGCACTCGAGGGGACTCTGTAGCACGTCGATTTTGCTGATACTCTGTACGACCTTGATCCGAGTGCGCGTGCGTCGCTTCCCCACGAGAAAACCCACTCTCGCTCGATATGGCGCGAGCGTTTAAAGTGCGCTGGTCTCCAACGATGGTGGCAGAAGTTCGATCCGTAATCGGCGCTGGTACGAGCGGGGGACTCGCGACTGGATAAGGATGAATATACACGACAGAGGATTGTGATCAGTTAGGGGTTGTCAAATTTACGCCAATTGAATATCTTCATTTTCATCTTTTGGCCAATGGCATCCCATGTGGGTAGGTCTCTTATTCCGACAGCTTCCGACAAATATTTGTCGGAAGCGCAGCCAAAATATTTATGGCTGGATACAAATACTCAGTATTTTTGAAATATTCTTGTCATTCCGACAACAAGGTCCTCCAGTAGGATTCCTACTTCGAAGGAGCAAGTATTCAAGTACGTGTTTAGGAAAATGATAAAATAACATGCCTCAAAAAAAACTATTAGTAAGCTTAGATACACATGTACATGGACTGCATTTGTTTTATTAAAATAGCGTCTTTGCTAACCTCTCATTGTGATTCTAGAGGCCTGGTGTGACGCAGCCTTGTTGCGTGTCAGGACCACCAGTCACCAAGCAGCAGAAGAAGGCCACACTAACCAACGTGATGTGTACGACCAACGCACCAGTACGACACCAGCCTGCGCCGGGTATTTCTAGTACATTTACTTGACAGTCCA